CCCCGGGTTACCTTTACTTCGCATGGGAATTGACTTCCTTTGTGCTTCAAGGCTTGTGTCCTTAAGGAACACCCACTCTTTGTGTACATATTTTGCTTTTGGTCCCTGGTCCTGCAGCACTTGCCCTACTAGTGATTTAAGCTTGTTGAAATTTGCATTTTTGAAGTCCAAAACTTCAATCCTGCTATCCAATTTGTCTGACTTATGTCGGACAGTGAACCTGATGGTTTCATGGTTACTGTTGCCCAGATTTCCATATATATTTAAGTTGTCACTGGGTTATCTCCTTTGGCCAGGACCAAGTCTAGCAGAGCATCACCTCTGGTTGGTGCATGCACCTCCTGAGTCAGGAGGAACTCCTTGACACAGGTCAGGAAGGATCAGAACCATTCCAACTTGGCTGAATGTTCCTCCCAGGAGATGTGTGGATTGTTAAAATTGCCCATGATGACTATGTCATGTGCACGTGCAGCCTCAGTCAGTTCTCTGGTATAAGTGTCCTCTGCTGCTCTGGGATCATATTAACCTGTGACCACCTGACTGCTGGTGAATTAAGATGTTTCCACTTGTATCATCATTGGAAGCTAGAATCATCATTCCATGATAGCTTTACAATACTACTGTATTGCTGCATGTGCTGTCCTTGACTGTGGAGCTCCTGGAAATCTCCCCTCTTCTAATGAGAGTTAGAGGTCCAAGAAGCCTTTACAAAAAATCATCAGAATAAGGATGCAAATGGAGATGTTGCTGAAGGGTGGGCAAAAGGATCACATCTAGGAAACCCACAGTGCTAGAAAAAGACGAAGAAGCTAAAGGAGCTTCATAGAAAGCTGTGGGAAAAAATCAGAATTCTATATTATTGCCATCCATGTTATGGGGATTTGGGCAGGATTTTGTCCTGGAATGGCACAGCCAAAGCCTCCGTTTATTGTGGACAGTGCAGAAGGCAATCAGAATAGTGACAACTCCAGGACTAGCCCTGATTTCACAAAGAGAACTTGCCTATAAGCCAGAATTAATCTCTTCCCAACATTCAGATACAGGTTGTGAGGATGTGTATGCGGAAGGTATCTTATCCTGCAGGCATCTTTCTTGCGAACAATTAAATTTTATTTTAATAAAAGAATTAAATAGTCTTTGGTCATGTTGTTGAACCTGTTAATAGTGATGCATATGGGCCTGGTACAGAACAAAGGCCTGTTTTGGCAGGCAACAAATAAGAATAATAACTTCCATCAATTGCCCCCATGCAGTGTGGAAACATTGTATGTCAAAGCCATGAATGACCTCCTGAGCCTTGCCTAACCTTGCAGCCAGTTTTGAAAATGCAATTGATGCCTCCATCCCAACAGTTTCAACAGTTTCTGTCCATACCAAATGTGCTTACTTTTCACTAGTAGCAATTGGGGGTGGCCAGCTTCCAGAGAGTGCTGCCTGAATACTTCAGACCAGCTAGTGTAGCTCTAAAGTTATGATGAGCTCCACAAAGGGCTCCAGAAAAGTATTTCTGGTCATTGTGAAATTCTGCACCTTCAGCTGGTTGTCCCAGGATTGCAGCACAGCCCACTGTCAGACATAGGGCTGCAAAAATCAAGCTTATCTAACAACAGCGTCCTCCACAAGCAGCCACAATGCACAGGGGCCATCAGTGGGATAAAGGGGCACAGGACAGCCACCAAGAATATTTAATTCACAGAAAAGCACTGTGTGGAAGCAAGGATTTGACTGAAGCAAGACTGCAACTGGCTGAAGAAGCAGTTACTGCGCCTGAACTAAATGTCAGATAACATCCCCATTTAGAGAAATCATAAGTCACTCTTGAAAATGGGACTATTACTTAAGTTGCTTGGGCCTTGCAGTGTTGCAAAACCCCCAAAATGCCTAAATACCATGAAAAAATTGAGCTGAGGTGCTTAACGTGCTGCAGAAAATGGGTTGTAAACACTTAAAAAATTGCCCTCAGGTCTGGTTAAAAGTTGTAGAAATGCCATATTTAGTGTGAGCGCTAGCTTTTTTATTTATGCACTGGTCTTTGGCTTTAACATTCAAAATTAATGCTTTTTAATTTTGCAAGCAATTGTGCCCTGTCCATGAATCATATTTACTGTTGAAAATATTGTAGTTGCTTTAATTCCTTTTTCAAGTATTTCTGGATTTTTTTCCCATTAGAAGCCTCACATCTAACGTGATATCCTTAGAGAATTAATTAATATATTTTGTTTTAAATTGGTACCGCTAGTGCTTGTGTTAGGACACTTTAGCGGTTAAGATCAATAACAACAAATGTTGACTTTTTGTTGATGTAACAGTAAAGTCAAATTTAGGATTTTTTGTCATACTCAGCAGCCTATAATGAATGAGTATGCCAAGTGTCGGAGTTCTAGCTCAACAGGAACACATAAATTAATTCTGTTTGTGAGTGAGTGATCTTTACAAGAGTGAATATATTAGATTCTATTAAATTGGAACGAAACATGCAAAACAGCTCTCAAAAGTTTGGAGGTAAAGCTAAGGGACTATTTCCTATTCCATCTGTTAGATACCTTACTACACCTGAATGTGGTCCTATTCAACCCTGGTTAAGTTTCTGTTAAAAATGTTAACAGGACTACTTCGGTAACACACCATCATCTTTCCCTTAAGGCTAATTCACAAAACATGGTGAATGGAAATTTTGTGTTAATTGTTTTTTCAGAGACTTGAGCAGGGTAGAATAGGTTTAGATGCTTTTGAAAATTTTACTTTATATTATCAATCATCTGCACAAAGGAGTCATGTTAAGGTGTCCATGCAATTTTAACTCTTGCTTTTTCTAATTTCTAGTAACATTTCTTTTCAATTTTAATATGATTTAATGTCTGTCTCTCTATCCCACATTTAAAAATAATTCAGAATTCTGCATAGTCTGTATTGATTATTTTGGATATGTACCTACAACTGAAATTGCCCTCAATCTTTTGTGCCTGTGTGCACAAAATCAATGAAATACTCAAAAATCTAATGTTCATTGGGACACTTCAGTTTATGTAAATGTATTAGTTGTCAGCTTATGTTAGATGAAACAGTGCAAAAATATGTACATTTTTAAAATGCATAATGCATTAAAATTGCATCTACTTTTCATCAGATTGCTAAAAGGCACGTTTTAGTGAAAACATATCTATGTTCTGGCTGATGTATCAGAATGTATATTGAAAAAGATGAATTGTAAGATTTGTGCCTTGCATTTGTGAGTTATTAGATATAATAGGCAGGTTTCAAATGATGCTATAGAGTAGTGTGGCTGAGATGTAATCTTGACTGAATATCCAGTTTATCAATACTAAAAGAATTAAATCTATTACTTGTGCCACTATATTCACATGTTTTTTACTTATATAGTGCATGGTAACTTTGACTTTAATGAGATTGACCTTGTCATACTGTTAAGAGTCTTTAGTTATTTTATATCTGAAAACAACTTGGTCCAGATTGTATTCCACCTTTTGGTTAGAGTGGATTTAGACACTTACGTTTGATTCTATTCCACTCTGCACAAGTTTCCGAAAAGCTGCTAATACTGAAGTTGGTCCTCCTCCTCCTCATCACTTCTCTTTTGTGACTCAGTCCTAAGGATAGGATGACAGATTGTTATGCAGGTAGATGAATTAATGGATCTGCCCCATTGTATGTATTATTCTAAAAATAAATCTTGAACATTTAGGGAAAATACATTTAATATGAAAATAAATGAGTTTTTCATTTGATAGGTCATGAGAATAGATGGCACCATAGACAGCTGCCTCTGTCTGAAGGTCACACAGAAGTCCTTCGGTTCACAGAACAGCAAAACAGATGTTATGTTTTTTCGCCTGAGCATGCCTATCGAATGTGCAGAAGTATTCTCCAAAACACCTGCAGGAGGGTTACCAGGCTCTGGTCTTTTTGGCCCAAAGAATGACTTGGAAGATTATGATGCTGATTCTGATTTTGAAGTTCTGATGAAGACTGCTCATGGTCACCTGGTGCCTGATCGGGTAGAAAGAGAAAAAGAAGCTGCAAAACCAGAATTCAATAACCATAAAGATTACACTCAAGAGAAACCTTCACGCCTTAAACAAAGGCATGTGACATACAGTAACATATTTGCTCTGATTTGTCATAATGCAGTTGATTTAACTTTACTTCTCCATATTTTTAATAAAGTTTATCCCTAATTTGTTCACAGTTCTGTCATTGAGTCATGATGCAAAGACAGGCAAATCATTTAACCTCCTGTTCCTCATTTTCATCCTTTAAAAACATCTGTCTTCAAGGTTGCAAGATTTTGAAATCTTTAAATAACAGCACTCTAGAAGTACAGAGGGATTTTCCAAGAATGACCAAGAAATGTCCAGAGTAAAATGAAAAACCCATTTTCACAAGAATTTCAGAAAAAAACTAATATATTTAGATAAATTTTGGTGAACTTTTTATAGTCACTCCCCCTCTAGTGTCCTCATTACATGTGGCAAGGATATTCATTCTTTCATATCCCTCATTTTCATGTGTTCTGAATCAAATAAAAATCTTTACCTAACCCAGGATAAAATATCTAAACTGAGGAACTACCTAAAACCTTTACCTAAAACCTTTCTCTTTCTATTCCTTTTTATATGTTTGTCACATTTGTTTGTTGTATCATGCCAGGTATTTACATAGTAAACTGTTTGGGACCATGGATAAAGTTTTCAGAAGCACCAAAGTAATTTAGAAACCTTAGTCCATTTTTTTAATGTGTTATGGGGCCAGATTCAAACTGATTCGTTAAGTGCCTCAACAACACTTAGATTGTGTTTAGCTGTTTAAATCCAAAGACTTGTTCACATAAGCACTGGGTTAGCAGAGCCAGCATGCATTTGGCAGGTAAAATCATCAGGCAGTCCTCATTTTGAACTGTGGAATTCCCTGAGCATTTATGTAAGGGCTTCTGCAAGGGGTTAGAAGTAATTCGGGTGGAGCACTTATATACATAACTTCTGCCTAATTCTACTGTGATTCTTTTTTGTCCTGGGAAGTCTCAAAACCCTACCTAAGCACCAGTCTCTGTAACCTAGTGGTCCCTGGTACCAGGGATATTGCTGGTGGGTTTTCTGATCACTAGACTGTTGAGCAAGAGTTGGGAACCAGCACTACCATGTTTGAATCATAGTTGAATGGAAGTGCCTGAGGTGCAGCATGAGTCAGGAGCCTAAACTCCTGAGTCAGAACAGTTTGGATGTACCCCCATCTTTATAATTTTTGCTTCCTATGTCTAGGTGCCTCTGAGCTTTCTAAATGACTTTCTCCCTTCTCTGCGTAGGGCAACCTGGGCAACCAAACTTGAGTTCCACTTCAGATTTTCCCAAATCCCTTCAGAGGTTGTACAGAGATTGTTAGGGCCTAACCAGGTCAAATTTAAATACACTTATTGGGGGAAACACCTAAGTTGCATGGTTTTCAGCAGCAGAATGTTAGGTACCTACAGAACCAAGGCATAGGTTCGTTTTAGACACGTGAGCCTGAGTGTTAATTAAATCAATGAAATTATGGCCTCCACGTGTCTTTTGAAAATGGGATTTAAGCTTCTAAATCATTTGGGTGCTTTTACAGTTGCTCCTTTTGGGGGTCTTTTATACAGTGTTCATGCTACCATGGGGTGGTATAAACAATACAAATCCAACTAAATTTTTTAGGCATAATTGATGAATGCGAAATTCTTGTGCATTTCTATTAATTTGCTCAAAATAGAAGCCTCTTGTGATTTTATGTGGTCCTTGGTAACTTGATGTATTTCAGGTTTATGCTTAGAAGGACAAAGCCAGACTACAGTACAAGCCACTCTGCACGGCTCACTGAGGATGTCTTAGCAGATGATAGAGATGATTATGATTACTTGATGCAAACTTCTACGGTACGGCAATATTATTATTTTTTTAATAACAGTATATTTTGGAAGTGGGAGTTTAAGTGAATTTGCATTTGATTTTACTCCCTTTTGTCTCCAAGCCTATTTTCACCATAGTACTGTATTACCCATGTTGTATCATTCTGCTTTTACCCAACAACTTGTTGTTTCAAAATTCAAAAGCAATTCTGTGTTAATTTTTCACATAGCCCTGTTGTAAAACAACTGACTAAGGTTTTTTAAACACAGGATATTCAAGGATAACAGTTATTGGTAGGTAACAACACTGTTCTGATTTGGTGTCTGGAACATGGAAATCCCAGTTAAATTAATGGTAGTTTTATTGTGGTTCACAATGCAGCTCCTTAAAATTGGTGACTTTATTGGCTTTTCAACATTTGGAGCCATGGTAGTACAGCTGTAAGTGTATTACTCCTTCACTCAGTGTGATATGGACCTACATCCCACTTCTTATGTGTACATCTTGTGAAACTAATTACTTTACTATTATAATATCCTTACTGTTTTTGTGGCGTATGCCTGGTTTTGTACTGATATTTTTCTGTTGCTCTACTACTGAATGAAGCTCAAACAAGGATACATGTATTCATAAAAGATAAGGCTGTGAAACAGTAAAATAACACATTTTAAAGCAACCAGTTTAATTCTGAATCAAAATGATAACATGGAAACCAAATATTAACACTGTGGGATATTGCTTGGTTATTGACAGTACTACTATTCAGTGAGAATATTTCCTGGGCAAGAACCTGCAAATGTCTGGGTGGGCTGGATTACATCTGACTTCCATCAGTATGATACAACCTTTGACTTGGACAGAGTTCGCACTGTTACTGTTACACTGGGGGATGAAAAGGGAAAGGTTCATGAGAGGTTGGTATTCTTTTTTTTCTTTTTAATTAAATTATTTTATATGCATTTAAATATCCAACAATTGTGCAAACTTTGAATTATTCCATTAGATTCAGTGGAGTTGTATTTTTATTCTTGATCAGAAACAATAAGTTAAACTACTGGAACTTCAGTTCTATATCAGACTTTTTGTTAGGATTTGGGCTCATACTTCTTTTAGTCCTAACGGTTCTTCTATTCTTTTAATCCTTTAAAATTCCATGGGGTGAAATCTGTATCTCATTGAGATCTGGGAGTTTTTTGTATTTGACTTCAGTGGGACTAGGATTTCACTAATGGTGACCAATACAGTATTCAGCTATAGACTGATGGTTGTACAATTTAGTTTATTTTGAACAAGCAGGCTACAGCATTAGTCTATTTTATAAGCTGACATTCTGTCTATAAATTTATCTCTTGTAATTCAGCATCAAACGCAGCAACTGCTATATGGTATGCGCAGGAGAGAGCATGAGCCCTGGACAAGGCCGCAACAATAATGGACTGGAGATTGGTTGCTTGGTTGATGCTGCCAGTGGTCTGGTGACCTTCACTGCTAATGGCAAAGAACTTAGTACCTACTATCAGGTATATACTTTATTTTCTTACCTTTTTCCATGAGAAGAGGCACTAGACTGAATTTTACTAGTTTTATTTGTTAATAAAAAAGGAAGGAAACTTTATTGCCCCTGATTTGGCACCGTGATTGTCCCTCCCCTATGTTGACCAAGTATGATCTTCTAACATTTCATTCAGCAACTTCAGCAACTTTAAGTGCTTGTGATGAAAATATTAGATTTGTCAATTTATAATGGATTAGCAGTCTTAAATTACTACATATTTCTGTTTGTTCGTGATTTAGGTTGAACCAAGTACTAAATTATTTCCTGCAGTATTTGCACAAGCTACAAGTCCTAATGTTTTCCAGTTTGAATTGGGAAGAATAAAGGTAAGTAAGGTGGTGATTATTTGTTTTTCTGTTAGTTTAGTTAATATACGTTATATTAGATAATCTTCAGTTGTTCTTGTTTTGCTGAATTCAGTGTATTCTTGGTGTTGGCCATATTTTTGTTGTTGCAAGTGAGTTTTCTACATTAAACAAAGCATATCATGTAGCACAAGAGAAAACAATTTTTGTAGTCTTCTAACTGAGAAGGTAAAGATTTCTAAACCTTACATGGAGTATTTATTTCTTATGTATGTCAGTTTTAGTGCCATGTTACTGCTTTAAACTACTATAAATAACTTAGCATCAATCTTAAAACATGCACTACTTACTCTGCAAATAGTATCATGGCTTCTTTGAAATCAAAACATCTATTGTATAAACATATTAGGAGCAATGAGTACAAGCATTGTACATATTATTACACAATGAGTACAAGCATTGTGTAATCTTCTTTTCTGAAATGCTTGTGAAGTGACACACTTCAGTCTGTGCACTATACCAAGTGTTATTCACATTGTGGCAATATTCTCATTTTATCTGTCACAGCTGTACATTTAGTCAGTTTATAACATTCATTGTTTAATTTCCTAGACCTGGTTAGATTGTGTCATTCTAGAGTAAAGAACAGTTACGATTTATGTACATATTTATATAACTAAATTTGCTATCTATTAGGTGAATTTCCAAATGTTAATAACTTTGGACATTAATGCTAGAAGCAATCTTGTGCAGCATGAATCTTGTGCCTAGCCAAAGGAGCATCAGAAACAAACAGTGACTTAGAGAATGGCAATTTTCTCTCTAAACTTCTCCAACTATTATATTTCTGGGAAAAATTGAATACACCATTTTTAACGGTGCTATATACTCCATATCTGTCTACCAGCCATTTACTTTAACTAGGCCTTCTTCAGATGGAGAAATGGTGGGCTTACTTACTCCCAGGCCAAGTACCCGTTGCTTGCCACAGACAGTATAGAATATGTAGTGCCTGTTCAATCTATTGTCTTTTCTTTTGAGATATGTCAAATATAGGTGTCTACAGAAAGTGAACAGGAGCCTTGTTCCTTTGCCTGGCTGTAGGGCCAGACCAGAATCTAGTCTTTCTAGTTTTTCCCCCCCTGAAATTAAAAATTGTCAATGTTATCTGGATTTGCTGCTGCAGAAGACAAATCTGTAGCTTGCCTCTTATTGATTGCACCCAAAGCACAACACATTAACTTCTTCTAGTGCCCATTGATGCCTGAGACAGAGAGATGCAAGTTCTGAATTATACTGTCTCTGGGATAACATGGCATCATGGTGACAAGTTCTTTCTGGGGCTATCTGTATTCTAGTTTGCCTCTGATCAATCCTGTGTATATGGGTTACATAGACTATATTATTTACACTAACAAATATCAAATTCTGCCATTAATTTTTAAATGTATCCACCCTTGTACTTATGTCCAGATTCAGTTTATTCATTTGTAAAAAGCCATGGGTTTCAAACTTGCATCACAGAACCCTTTTATTTCACTTCTTTTGCTACGGAATCCCTAATCCTATGCTAAAGATTAATGCAGAGCCAGGTGATCTGGCCTGCTTCACTGTTATGCCCAATCTTGCTATGGAACCCCTGATGTCGTGGCATGGAACCCCAGGGTTCCACAGTTTGAAAACCACAGGTATAAAGCATAATTGTGCAAAAACGGGTTGGAAGAATAAAAACATGATGCATCAGGGTTGGTGAAGAAGGCTGGGGTGACTTAAGAAGACTAAGGCTTAGACATCCTAAGGGCCTCTCCACACATGCAGGTAAAGGCACAATGTGATCTAATGTATGATCCACACAGTTGTGCTTCCTGCCATGCCACATGTGCATGGCAGAAGGTATGATTGTGGAATTTCACATTAGATCCCATTGTGCCTTATTGCTGGTGCAGGGGGTTCACGGCAGCTCTGTCCCTCAGCTGTGGGAGCTTGCTTCTTGACTAGTGTAGCAGGGGCCATTGTGAAACTCTCAGCCCAGGCTGGGCATGATGCACCCCTGCAGCTGGAGCCCAGTCAGCTGACAGGGCTCTTAGCTGCAGGGGAGACCCAGCTACATGTTCAAATTAAAACTGTATACCAAGCAGTTACAAGGTTAGTACCTGTTTTCAAGGTCTTATTTTATAGCTGGTTGGAGTTTTTTATGGCATGGTAGGTACTTGCATGTGTAGCTGGTATTAGTTATTTGTGCAATTAAACAGCTAATTCTGCAATACCTGTAATGTGTAGGTGGGGGAAGGGACACGGGCCTAAAATATCCTCCTAGGGAAATGCTGTAGGTCTTTTTTTAAAGTTATTTGGCTTTGAGACTGTCTGGACCCTAATTAGAAGGCCCCCAGTACTTTTGAAAGCTCCTTAAAATGCTGCATTCCTCCTGCACTATGTTTGTTGCCTTTCTTTGCATTGATTTTTTTACATCTGTTTGCAACATGTGCGTCTTGGGTACTATTATATACTTTGTTGTCTTATAGAGGTGATAAAACTGACTAGCTCCTTTGTCTTGAACCCTCCAGAATGTAATGCCACTGTCTGCTGGCTTGTTCAAAAGTGAACACAAAAACCCAGTGCCTCAGTGTCCCCCACGTCTCCATGTCCAGTTTCTGACCCATGTGCTGTGGAGCAGAGTACCAAATCACTTCCTCAAGGTTGATGTCTCTCGTGTCAGTGAACGTCAAGGCTGGATGATACAGTGCTTGGATCCATTGCAGTTTATGGCTCTTCATGTTCCAGAAGAAAACAGGTTAGCTTTATATGTAAAACTGAAGTGGGAACTGAAGGTAGGAGTTGTGAAGTCAGGTTTACTCTATGTTGAAAAGGTCTGTTGTCCTTGCTGCATCACCTGGGGGATGAAAACACCAAAGCAGATTTAGATTAAGTTTCAGGAAAAACTTCCCAACTATAAGAACAGTAGGACAGTAAAACAAGCTGCCTTTGGAAGTTGTGGAATCTCATTTCATTGAAGGAGAAGATGGACATGTCTCTGTTTGGATTGTTTAGAATCAGCTCTGCCTGCATTTGGGTATTGAGTTGGACTAGATCAGGGGTGGGCAAAATATGGTCCATGGGCCAGATCCAGCTCACGAGCCTATTCTATCTGGCCTGTGGGGCCCCTAAAAAATTTAGAAAATTAATATTTCTCTGCCATCAGTTCCTGTCAAAAATGCCAGGAACCAAGAGCAGTAGGACCCAGGGGAAGCCCTGGCAGGCTCCTACAACAGCAGGGCCTGCCCAGCCCTGCCCCCCCAGCTGGAAGCCCCAGGGGGACTTCTGGCCTGGGACCATGCAACTGCCCTGTGCCGGAACTGCGGGTAAGGGGGGTGGGGGGGAAGGGCAGAGAAGGACCCCGGCAAGGAAGGAGCACAGGGAAAAGTGGCCCGGGGAAAAGCTGAGTGGGGTGGGTTACAAGGTGGTGCTGAGTGCAGGAAAAAGTGGCCCCTCACTTACCCTGTGGCTGCTGCCCCACACTGTAGCTGCTTGAAGCCTGCATGGGGCTGCCTGTGCCTGCTCAGGACAGCCCCACGTGGACTGCGAGTGACTGCAGCAGGGAGGGCCAGCCATGGGGCAGGCAAGGGGCCACTTTTCCCCATGCTTAGCACCAGCTTCTTCCCTGCCGGCGAGCAGGGGGTCGGGGCTATGCACTGCCCCCTGCGTGTACTGTGGGCCTGGGGAGCACTGGGAGTGAGTGGGTGGGGAGCCAGCAGGAGCATGGGGCCTGCACTGGTGTCAAAGGGCCAGTGCCAGTGGGGCCCAAAGCAGGGTGGCAGGAGCACAGGGTCCCAGCTGGCAGGGGCTGTATGGAACTAGGCCAGCTCTCCCCTCTCCCTGCTGGTGCAGCCCAGACCAGCTCCACAGACCCCTGCCAGCCTGTGCCCCACTTTAGGCCCTACCAGTGCTGGCCCTGGGACATGGGACCAATGTCCCAATGTCTTGGGACCAAAGACATTGGGAAATTGCTCCCAAGATGGTAACCAGAGGGTGTAGCACTTGTCAAGGTGTGGAACACCTGTCAAGGGGCGGGGATACCCATGCGGCTCTTGACAGCCTGCCAAAACTGGTTAAGTGGCCCTCCGCCTGAAATAATTGCCTGTCCCTGGACTAGATGACCCTTAACATCCCTTCCAACCCTTGGAAAAGATCCATGCCCCTGAGCTGATGTAGCTATGCCTGTAAATCCCGTTTTTACCTAGAGGGTTTTTTTTGTCACCTCAGGGATGATATAGTTATGCTGACTGACAAACTACTGTTGTCCTAAGCTGCATCTGAGCTATGGGACTCTGCTGACATTGCTTATAGTGGCACAGACTCTGTAGTATAGACATCCCTCAGGCAAGTATCAAAAACACTTGCTCCTGGACAATCAGTAATTTTTTTCTTGCTGTGTATATATAATACTGACTTGAATCCATGATAAGTTTTTCCCCCCCCCCTCATTTAATGTAGGGGGGAAAAGCCCTATGTCTTAGATTCAACTGCAAAGTGACTAAGGGGCAGGTGGCTGCTGTGGCTCTGCTGCCTGATGTGACAGTGGCAGCTTTGGCTAGGCCCTGGAGCTAGAACCTGATCCAGAGCTGCTGCTATCACTGCTACTGCTACTGGGCTTGGGCCTGAATTAAGTCATGCTCTATGCCCTGGGATAGAGTGGGCTGGAGCAGTGATGGAACCAGAGAATAAGTGAGAGGGAGGGGTAGGCTTCGGGGCAGAGGCTGTGGGGTGAGGAGGTGGCAGGGTTGCAGGCAGCATGGCGGGTCATGTGGTGGGAAGGATAGGTGCCAGGGGATGCAGGCATGGGCAGGCAAGTAGCAGGGGTGGGGGTGAGGGAAAAGGTGCCAGGGTGGCAGGCAGCAGGTTGGGCTGGTGGGGAACAATCAGCAAAGGGTGAGGTTTGGGAAAGCAAAGGTCAGGGGTCAGGTTGCTTGACTCCCCCACACTGCCTGCCCTGTCACTGCTTTCCTAACCACTTACTCTCCTACTGTCTGCTTTCACACTGCCTCCTTTACTATTTTACTTTTATCTATTTCCCTACCACTTAGTCCTCTACTATTGCCCCCACAACCTAGCCCTCCACTGCATGCTCCCCTCCCATTGTGTTCTCCACTGCACCAGTGTGTGTGTGTTGGGGCGGGGGGGGGGGGGGGAGGGATTATATAATATGAACCAGAAATAAGTCATATTATATTTCAATTTTAATTATAAAGTACTAGCTGTTACCAGACATACATGTGTTACTAGCACAGGTCAAAGTAACATACGTGGTATCCAAGTAAAGGGTGTGGACTTTCTTGAAGTAGTTTGTGACCATTCGACCTCGTCATCCCTTGGGGCGCTCTGGTGAACAAACGTTCCCCCAGATGCTGGTGGTCACCCCTGATAAACTTGTAGGTGGCCATCAGATCACCCCTGAGCCTGCGCTTTTTCAGGCTAAAGAGCCCCAGGGCTCTCAGCCTGTCATCGTAGGGTCTGCTTCCCTGACCTCTGAGCATGCGCGTGGCTCTTCTCTG